ACATTTGGTGACAAAATTGTCTGGTTAGGGATGGACACTAGATGTAGCTTGTAACAATTTAAATTTGTGAACTTTAATTCAAAATTTCAAACTTAAATTAAAAGTTTTGAAATAAAATTAGAAGTTTTAAATTAAGATTTAAACTTCAAAATTAGAAAAACAAAATTCAATTTTTTTAAATTATTCTAAATTCAATTTAAAATTCAAAATCAATTAAAAAAAATTAAAGAATATTCTTATAAGTTCTAATTTAAATTTGAAAACTTAAATTTAAATTCAAAATTTAATATTGAAAACTTAAATTTAAATTCAAAATTTAATATTGAAAATCAAAAATTATAAAAAAAATCATTTTTTTGTCTAAACTCAAAATCATATTTCTAATAAAAATTACTCAAAACTTAGCAAGTTAAAATTCGAAAAGTTCCAAATTCATCTCTCAAAAATTCAACCAAAATTAAATCAACAATAAAAAAATCCACAAATTCCCTTCAGTGCCTTCGCTCTTCTGCATGTCATTTTTCATTTCATTTGAATTTAGCTATATTTATAAAGATTTACTGGCTCTTATGATGGATGCATTTTTACAATTTATTTATTTCATGTGTTGTTGTTGTTACTTGAAACTTATAGGAATTGGGTTCAATTTTCATTTATTTATTTTCATCTACATAAATTTATTTTATGTATATTTGAAGGTATTTTTTTATTGTATGGAGAGAGATTATTATTAATTTACGTATGTGTTCTTTTTTTATACAATTTTTTCCCTTAAAATGTGTGTTACTTTGGTATACTTTGGAGCATTCGTATGGAAACTAATATGTCTACTTATCATTATCTATCTGCTATCTTGCAAAAAAATCATCTCTTTTTTTAACGGTTCAATACTACATCGAAAAAAATTCATTTTAATAATTTTTCTTTAAGCCTGTCAAATTTTTTTTATGCTGTAATTTCATAATTCGATAAAAATGCAATTATTATTTTTTTTTGTATACTTTGATATCCAATTCATTCTTATATAAAGATTTTTTTATTTAATTTTTTTTTTGTTTAAAACCAAAAAAAAGCATCTTTTCAATTACGTATATGTGGTATAAAGTTACAAAAAGTGTATAATTTTCATCTGTCCAGTAATTTTGAATAAACTTAAGTTAAACAATTTTTTTTGCTGTTTTTCCCTCAATTTTTTGTTGTTGTTGTTGTTTGGGCATTGAAGAGAATAAAAATATTTTTTTTATCAAGTATTTTTTTTATTTTGTTTTTTTTTTTATTATTTTTAAGTATAATATGTACATCAGTGAAGAAATCAAACTCTTGAATAATTACATACAATTTCATCATGATCATATTTTTACTTAGCACTTTTTGTACGTATATATTTCATTTTTTGTTACTCAAAAGATGAAGACGCGCTTCAACGTTCGAATTTCAACCGAAAAAGGGAATATTCAAGAATGTAATTTAAACAAAAGGAGAATGAATCTTCTTGTACTCTTTCATACAAAGTAGAGTTTTTTTGGCTTGGTGATGGAACTGGTTGGTTTTTGAGGGACTTTTAATATAGCTTTGATTAATTAAATTGAATTTTGAACCCTATTTGGAGAGTTTAGTTGGAAAGTCTCACTGAATTCATAAATCAGGTGGTTTAATTAGCTTTTTTTTTTGTCAATAGAGAACTGAATGAGCAGCAAATTCATCAAAATAGCTTAAATTGACATATTGCGAACTTTTGTAACTATATTAAAATATTGTAAATAGCCTAAAAGGGAGAATGAACTACGTTTTAAATCTTAAAGGTTTGGGTTTGAATCCCATGTTTGTCAAAAATTTTAAAAATTCTTAAACAGATGTAGAATACGTTGGTGCTTTAAACTATTTTTTTTTTGTTGAAAGTTGATTTCAGATTACTAGATGGCATTAAGATTCTCATAATCAAAAAGAAGGGTGGGAGGGGGTCTTAAAATCTTATCTTTCAAGTGAATGTCGCCAACGATTTCTAGATTATAGTGGATTATTTAGAAATCCTCAACTGACCCTCAACTTTTCTTATCCAAAAGGTGACAATCCTGATAACCATCAAGTTCCATTCCCAAGACAATTCATTTGATATTCCGTATTTATGAAAAAGCCAAAAAACTTTTTGCTTATTTCTCAAAAATAAAAAAAAAATCCTGTTTTTCGTAATGTTTCTTAATTGCACAACTACATAAAAAGGGAGCAAAAAGGAGAGAGAAAGAGAGAGAGAGAGAAATAATATAATAATAATAAAATTGAAGAAAACAATCTCAAAATCACTGGTTCACAAAAAAATTAATAGTAGTTTTAAATTCCATTATAAGGAAAACAAGAAAATTCATTTGTTGATCGACATGAGGGGAAAGACGAAGTGGATGGAAAGAAATACTGTGCTATGCATGACTGAAATTTCGCTTTGAGACAGTGCAAAAGTAGCTGCTCTTTGGAATTTTTACACTGTCTGCTGTACTTATCATTTTGAAAATTATTGTTTTGATGGTTTTTATGGATGTAGGGCATGTTCTTGAATGATTTTTTAAATAGAAACTGAATATAATTGGAACTAAATTTTGGAGAATTGATAAAAAAAATTTTTTTTTTCTGAAGCTGTACTTAAAGTACTTCCAACATGCCTTATTAATGCATCCATAACAACCACAAAAAATAAAACAATTTTCAAAAACATATTTTTTTAATCAATGCCAATAAAATTACATGAAAATGTGCATTTTGGAGTAATGAGAAAATGATATAAAAATAAATAATGAAGAAAATAATACAAAAGACTTCGGCAGTCGGTTTAAAATTGAGGTTGATTTAAACGCTGATCGGAGAAAAATTAAACGTTTAATTTTGAATACTGAAGGAGTTGTGGGGTCCTTGTGAGGAGTGGTGTCAGGATTTTAGATTTTTTTGACTATTTTAAAGTTATTTGAGTTTAAAAAAAACTAGAAGATTTGAAAAATTTGGAAATTATATGAAAAATAAAAAAAATTAAAAAGGTTTTTAAAAATTTTTGAAAATTCTTAAAAAACTTATGAATAATTTTTAAAAATTGTATTTCAAAAATCTCAATTTTCCTGACAAAACACCCTTACAAACCCTTTAAATTTCATGATTTTTAAAACTATTATGTTTTCAATTTTCTTAATTTTCCTTTCCATGTCGTCATTAAAATCCCCGAAAAAAAATAATACAAGAAAGCTTTTTGTGTTCAAAAAATGTATTTTTCGTCTCTCAATTACAGTTCAATTAGGTATTTTTAATATCTGATGATTCTTTTACTGCTGTCAAATACTTTTCAAGTTATAATTCCTTATTACAATTTTTTTATGCCTTAAATTAAACTTTTTTTTCATCAATTTAATCCTAAAATGTTTATCAATTATTATTTTTTATTTTTATTACTTTTTTGTCCTTAATAATTAAAAAAATTTGAGGTCACATGAGTTGGTTTCTTTACTTTTTCTTCATTATTTTTTAATTCATTATTATTAATTATTATTTTTGTTTTAAAGTTAGAGAATCAATTTTTTATTTTTCATACAAATTGTAAATATTTTTTTCTCATATAATTTTTAATTTACATTGCCTAAAAAAGGAGAGAGAAAGAACTATTTTGCAATTCGTGCAGAATAGAAATTTATAATTTTTTAGGTAGGTCATTTTTGGGGGGTTGTTGTGGTGGTATTATGAGGGGTTAAATCAATTTTATGGCAGTCAAATGGTAGCAAAACTACTTGTGCTTGCTGCTGTTTTACAGGTTTTTTATAGCTGCAGGTGGTTCTAGATGGATTAATTTTCTGATAGCATCTTTTTGGTTTTTTAATAAATTTATTACAATTTTTTAAAATTAATTCTTGATTTTTTTGAAGATTAAAAATCAAAAATTCAAATTTTTCATCTTCACATGCAGCACCCCCATAACCCCACCACAACAACAACCCCCCACTCATAGTAACGTCAAGGATTTTTTTCTCACTGTATTTTTTCCAAAATATTCGAGAACAATAGACATCCAACAAGATTTCATCTCTCATTAGAACTTTTTAATTTCATTTCGTCAAAGTGTATTCACTTAATATGAATCACCCGATTGACATCGTCCACATCTTTCTTTACTGGAATTGCACAAACTTAAGAGACTGGAAACATTTCTTTCCGAATGAAAATTAACGAACGAAATTTGTCAAACTTTTTTTTTTCAAAACTTTCTTGTGTATTTATAGAAGGTAGTGGTTTAGTTTTGATTTGAAGGGAATTTTGAAATCAGGTTTTGCTTTATGTATGTCTCATGCTATTCAATACTGGGTATCTTAGGTTTATTAGAGAGTCTTAGGTTGACCAATGATATTTTAAAGTGGCCTGGGGTGTTTTAAGGTGTCCTAAGATGGCTTTGAGTTAAAAGTTTCAAAAATAGTCATACAACCTACCTTAAAAGCCATGTAGCTACCAACAACACTATCAAACTTGAACATTATTAAGATCGCAGCCTCTAGTACTCAAGTAAATCCTCCAACTAGCTTTAAACTCCCTACAAGGAAGCTTGAAACCAATTGTTTTATCAAACTTGGTTTTTGGGGGTGTCTAGTGATTTGATATTGGTAGCCTTAACCGATTTCTTTACTTTAAGGACTTTAACCTTCAATATTGAGACTTTTGAATACTTCACCCTCTTCTAGCTTTTAAAATCTAGCAAGACCAGTCCTTTCAAAATCCCCTCCAATCCAAAACTCTCTTCATCATTTAATGGTACACATAATAATCTTAATTGTCAATAAAACATCTATAAAATCGTGTGGTTTTTGGACTAATTACTCGAATTTTCATCTCTTCACTATCATCTCTTAATTTTTCTTTTCTTTATACTAAATGGACAATCTTCTTTTTATTATTTTTTTTAAGTTTCTACTCAATTTTTAATAGTTATTTTTTTTCTCAATTTTTTACTTAAAGAACGTAATTTTTTTTGCATTAATTTATACTGGACTTTGAGGTGGTGTAATTTCATCGGCACCATCACCTGAACCGGGTTCTCCTTTGGTCTTGTTCTCCTTCTTCCATCTATTTATGATGAGAAAGAAAGAAAAATTAAATTAGCGTGAAAAAATTTTAAATGTGCATAAATTATCAAACTTACTTCATTCTTCTATTTTGGAACCTACAAGAGCGTTATTATCAAGTGCACGCAACGGCAAGGAAAAGAAAAATTAATAAAAAATTTATCATTAATAAGTATATCATGTGAGCGTATAAGATAAGATAATTAACAAACATGTAAGGCTTTTGTTGCTTCTGACAAGAACAAGAGCATTATAAGTTGGAAAATTATTCGGCTGATTATTTGTGGATAAGGCGCATTTATTTCAAGGTTTATTCTTAAACGAAGTCTATTAAAAAGTGGAATTTCATAATATTTTGTATTACATTTTAAAAAAAATCACAAGTTTAAGTTAAAATCAAGTTATAGCCAAAGTTTATCTAGATATTAATATGTCAGGATGACGTAATGACTTAAAAAGTAAGGATTGATACTGTATTACCTACACATTGATTATGGGTTCGAATCCCAACAAAAGTCTGGAAAAACACATATTTTGCATTTGTTTTTATATTTTGCACCAACTGCCTTAGTCAGCCTATAACTACCTTCAACTTCAAACCCAATCCACCATCATCACTAAACGCATTTACCACAAAAAATTGCGCCCGCATCGAAAGGAAATGAATGATTAATGAGCAATAATTACCATATTTTAATTTGGCGTTCAGTGAGACATAATGCATGTGCAATTTCAATTCGTCTTCTTCGTGTTAAGTAGCGATTAAAATGAAATTCTTTCTCTAGCTCCAATGTCTGATATCGCGTATATGTTTGACGTCCTCGCTTTCGTTCTGTAAATAGAATTTTTTTTTGAAAAAAAGAAGAGAGACAAAAAGGCAGGTGCGAATTAATCATGCTTTTAATAAGTTTAGAAGAAAAAAATTCATTTATTAGTTTATTGAGCACAAGAAATTGCAAAAAGCAGAAAAACTTTTTTTTTTAATTATCACAAATGAACATTGCATTGCCATTGTGTAAAAAAATTGTGAGAGATAAGGTTATGAAAAATTATTGCAAAAAAATAGCATTTTCATATGAAAATTTATGATCGTGCAATTAATTATTATTTGAATGAATGGATAATTAATTGACAATTTTGCTTGCAGATTGAAAATAATAATAAAAATTATTTTTGTGAGATCAAAGAAATTTGTCATTTATTGAATTGAGTGTTTGTGATTCAGAGATCACATTGTGGTCGTAATTTAATTAATTATGTTTCTGTTGATATGAATATTATTAAATACACCGACTAGGTTTGAGTCATTTTGAATTGTTGCTTTAAGAATTTAACTCTTTTAAGTTGTTGCTTTAAGAGTTTAACTCTCTTAAGTCGTTGCTACAATAATTCGCTCATTTTAAGTCGTAGCCTTAAGAATTCGACAATTTTAAGTCGTTGCTTTAATAATTTTATCATTCTAAGTCGTAGCTTTTAAAATTCACTCATTCTAAGTCAACGCTTTAATAATTAGACACTTCTTGGTCGTAACTTTAAGAATTCGATATTTTTTAGTCGTAGCTTTAAGAATTTGACATTTTTAAGTCGTTGCTACAATAATTCGCTCATTCTAAGTCGTAGCTTTAAGAACTCGACACTTTTTTGTCGTTGCTTTGATAATTCGTTCAATTTAAGTCGTAGCTTTAAGAATCTGACACTTTTAAGTCGTTGCTTTAGGAATGCGCTCATTTTTTAAGTCGTTGCTACTATAATTCGCTACTCTAAGTCGTAGCTTTTAGAACTCGACACTTTTTTGTCGTTGCTTTGATAATTCGTTCAATTTAAGTCGAAGCTTTGAGAATCTGACACTTTTAAGTCGTTGCTTTATGAATGCGCTCATTTTTTAAGTCGTTGCTACTATAATTCGCTACTCTAAGTCGTAGCTTTAAGAACTCGACACTTTTTTGTCGTTGCTTTGATAATTCGTTCAATTTAAGTCGTAGCTTTAAGAATCTGACACTTTTAAGTCGTTGCTTTAAGAATGCGCTCTTTTTAACTCGCTGACTAAAGAATTTGACAATCTTGAGTCATCGCTTTAAGAATTTCAACAATTTAAAGTCGTTGTTTTCAAAATTTTAACGTTTCAAGCCCTGGTTTTAGCCTCATTAGCTCAAAGACAACATCAACTTAAATCACTGTCTTGCAGTCACTTCTAAAAGCCTCACTTAACCTTCCTATAGCCCATCAATTCCAAAAACTATTCCATAATATCCAACCATAAACAAAAATCTCCTCAAATCTACTCTCATTTAGACAATTTTCAAGTAGTCCAATTAGCTCAGCTTTCATCAACAAAACATTTAAATATTTATGACTATTGCATTCATAAGTATTTCCAAAAAAAAAAAAAATGAGCGAGCTCATTAAATCTTTCGTCAATAAATTAACAACGAAAATAAAAATTGAATTCTTCATCATTTCTGAAGTATTTCTCATTTATCTCAAATTCATTATAAGCTCATAACCCCAAAAGCAACATTCTTATTTAAATCAACTGCTTAAGCTTTAAACTCATTTTTATGATACGAAATAGAGATTCTTCTTATTTTTTTTGTTTTCGTCAATTTATTTTACATCTAATAGCAGCAAATCATCATCAGCATTCATACTTATTATTTTGCCTTTGCGTTTTTGGAAACAATTACAATTTCGGCCATTGTTGATTGTAGGCATATGATTGTGCCTTTTGCTTATTTTCATTTTTTATTTGATGTATGGAACATCAACGAATGAAAACATTTAGACACTAATGGATTTTTAATCGTTCCGTAGTTATATAGCATTAATTTTTTTTTCTCTACGTCGTGCTTACATTATTATATGTGTATATATAAAATAAATATATTTTTTTTTTATGTTTTATAAATGTCTGTAGATTTTTTATATTTCTTCATTCTTTTATGTTGTCGAATAGCGTAGTGATGTGAACAAGTAAGTAAAAACGCGTACCAGTTTCATTATGAATTTTCATTCTATTATACACTACTTATATTGTTTACCGGTACCTCCAATGTGTATACTTTGATTATATGAAACACGCACTAAATGTATTAAATTTTCATGCTCATTTTCTGAAGGTTCTTTTGATGTAAAGTTGTTCCTTATAGGGGAATTGGGGCTGAATTTTTGGGGAGAGTTTTGGAAAGAATTGAAGTGCTTTTTGTGGCTACCCGGGGGTTTGAAATCTAAAACTAGGCCCAGGTAACCCTAAACCAGCGTTGTCCAAACTTTTTTGAGCCACGGCACATTTAAAGGGTAAGCCATTACTAAAGTCGCATACATCATGCGGCTCGCGTCATTTACAAAAAAATTCTACGGAACATTAGTGTGCCGCGGCACACAGTTTGGACAACACTGTCTTAAAACATATTCTTAGTCATCTCTAGCAGTTCTGTAAGTTTAACCTTTCCTTATTTTTAAAACACACTTTAGGATCGACTCTGGGGATCATTTATAATATTTGTAAGGCGTAAGAAGCTTCAGACTATCTATTTTGCATGGATTGACCCTTGATTATATTCTTCTAAGATGTAGAACTATTTAAAGCTAGTTTACAGTCCCTAAATAGTATTATATAGGATGCTTAAGTTCATACTGATGAAGAATCAAATGCTCTCACTGAGATTTGAACCTACGAACATCAAGTCTTATTATAAATACCAAATCACTTGACAACTACGCTATTAACCTCATTAGTCATAAATCACAAACCCCACAAAAATCACTACAATACCTCCAAAAGGAACTAGCTCTTCCTCTCCAAGCTTCAATTTACCAACACCTATTTCATATTTTCGACTCAAAATCGATAACGCGCGCGGTTCTTTCCCCCTCAACAATTTTTCGTGTGAGATTCCACCAAGAAAAAAAATGTGTGTTAATTTTTGTATAATTTATGACATGCCTTCTAGCCTTTTTGTACCTACACTTACTTTTACTAGACTTTTGCATTATTTTCATTAATTCACGGATATATTTTTGGAACAAAGGCTTTAATGGATGCCATTAAGCCTTCACATTGTACAATTTTCTTACACACATTTTCTTTTCGGTGTTGTTGCTGTCATTAATCGATCAGTAAATTATCGACAAAATCGCTTTAACTCATGAATCATTTAATGAATGTTCTTGTGTACGCAACAGATAAACATGAAAATTATTCATTTGACTAGGAATGGGATGCATTGACAGTCTTTGACACGCATTTTTCAAATTCAAATAATTTTTATTTCAGTGTCGACAATGATGGTAAAATAATCGCAAGGCTTTAACATTCTACACGCATTTTAATAATTATTTTGATAAAAGGTGGAAATTTTTGATGAATGTAAGTTGATTGTGACTAATGGCTTTCTTGAGTTGTAGGAAATTATAAGAAATTTTATTTTTTGATTGCTTAATTTTGTTGGTTGGCTGATTGAGGAAGTTGTGGTGGGTGGAGTGTATCTTGTAGGTTTTTTGAGAACTGTCATTAATGTGGAGGCTTTGATAGGGTATCATTTAGTCTGTCCGTGAGTCTGGCTGTCATTCAGTTTGTTTTTAAACTTGAAGGTTTTTTGAGAACTGTCACTAATGTGGAGTTTTTGCTAAGGTATCCTCCAGTCAAGCTATGAAGGTTAATGTCACTTTGTACGTCAGTCTAGCCCTCTGTCTATCCATTAGCTCGAGAACCCAAACGACAATCAAATTCCTTAAATTTCCGTCTCAATCTCTCTCAAAGTCTTCATCCCAAATCTCCCAATCTTATCAAATCTCCCCCATGCCATATCCAACCAAACCTTAAAGAATTTTTTGTTTTTTCATTAAAAACAATTTCAATTTCTGTTGTTATTTCATTTCACAAGAAAGATAATTCTTAAGGGATATTTAAAGGAAATTGTACATGTCTGTCTCTCATTTCTCCCTACAACATACATGTGCACATCTTTTTCGATGGTAATACCATCCTCATCATCTTTTCACAAGGAAGAAGACAAGAAAATAGAGAAGAATAACATTTTTAGAAATTGGAAAGTTTTGCTTTTTTTTATTTCAGGAGACGGTACGTACTCGGATTGTTGTAAATTCGGTATTTTTTTTTATTCTTTACTTCAAAAACTCACAGAGAATAAAATAAAAACCTTTTCTATATTAACCCATATCAAACGATTTGACAGCTGACTGTTACCATTTTTCTCCTTGTGTAATTTTAAAAGTAAATTTTTTTATTGTAAGTATTAAAATATAAAACCTACGAGCAAGTGAGATGGATGGAAGAAATTGTATACAAAAAAAAATAAGAGACATGTTGCTGCTCCATCCTCTTAAATGTATTTCATCTTCACGGGGTTGAATAGTCCATGATTTTTTAATATTATTTCTCTTCTGTTCTTCTTTTTATATTCTACTTGAGGAGTCAGAGGCCAAACCTTAATTTTCTATTTTGATAGATCATACGCTAGATGACTTGAAAGTCACTATCCCGCAGATATACCCGAAATTTTCATTTTCTGTGTTAGCTTTAATTATTGAGAGTTGTTGTGATTTTAGTCGTTTTGGAGGATGTTGGTCAGTATGATTGCTACTTAGTCTGATTATATTGATAGATTGTTCATTTAATTCCCGCTTGGGATGAACCATTGGATGAATTTCATTTTTTCAAAATTTTTTTGAGTTTCTTAAAGCAGCATAGAGTCACTAGAATTATATATTGATCTATGTTTGAATAGTAATGTCTCTTGCAGTTGGCCCAGTTTATGACAACCAAGCCTACAACATCAAGCAGCCAAACAAATAGTAGAATGAACTATGCAA